GCAGAAATCATGTGGGTGCAATCCATCTTGAAGGAGCTAGGTGTGAAGAGCACTAAAGCTCCATGTTTATGGTGTGATAATCTAGGTGCCACCTATTTGTCAGCAAATTCAGTCTTTCATGCCAGAACAAAACACATCGAGATAGACTTTCATTTTGAGAAAGAGTTGCGAATAAACTCTTAGACATTCGGTTTATCCACTCCAGAGACCAAGTTGCAAATGGATTTACAAAAGCTCTACCTACAAGAAGTTTTGAAGACTTCAAGCATAATCTCAACTTAATGAAGTTGTAATTAAGGGAGGGTGTCAAACATGATGCAATGTGTATGCCGTATGAATTGCAACGTGACACCAATATTTGGGCATGTAGGTTAGGTGGTTAGTGAGGGGGTCCTGGATTAGGGGGTATCCGGACAGCCGGACTGTGTACAGCGTCCGGACTATTGAAGCGTGAAGATACAAGACTCAAGACTTCAGCCCGTGTCCGGATGGGACTTTCCTTGGCGTGGAAGGCAAGCTTGGCGATCCGGATATTATATTTCCTTCCTTGTAACCGATTCCATGTAAACCCTAGCCCTCTCCGGTGTCTATATAAACCGGAGAGGTTGGTCCTTAAAAGGCCGATCACAATTACAATCATACCATAATAGGCTAGCTCTTAGGGTTTAGCCTCTATGATCTCGTGGTAGATCTACTCTTGTACTACCCATATCATCAATATTAATTAAGCAGGAAGTAGGGTTTTACCTCCATCGAGAGGGCCCGAACCTGGGTAAAACATATGTGTCCCTTACTTCTTGTTACCATCAGCCTTGACGCACAGATCGGGACCCCCTACCCGAGATCCGCCGGCTTTGACACCGATATTGGTGCTTTCATTTAGAGTTCCTCTGTGTCGTCGCTGTCAGGCTCGATGACTCCTTCAATCGTCATTAACGACGCTGTCCAGGGCGAGACTTTCCTTCCCGGACAGATCTTCGTGTTCGACGGCTTCACGCTGCGGGCCAATTCGCTTGGCCACCTGGAGCGGATCGATAGCTATGCCCCCGGCCATCAAATCAGGCTCGGAAACCTGAACTACACGGCGGATATCCGTGGAGACTTGATCTTCGACGGATTCGGGCCAGCGCTAGAAGCGCCGAACAGTCGCAATGAACACGGCTTAGACCTGCTGTCAGATGTTGCTCGGGATATCATCCCGGCAGAAGCCTCAGATCTAAATCCGGGGTAGGTTACTTCGCTCAAGGACGGAGGGCTGGACCCCGCCCCGCTGGCCGTACCCTCATCGGCGATGGAGCCGAACATAGGTCTCACCTCTGAGGGAGCCTGTGACTCCGTACCCCCGGATTCATATCCAGATGCAGGTTCCAGTCCGCGCGCCCCCGAGCCCGCCAATCCTGGTTGGACTCCGGTGATGGAGTTCACCGCGGCGGACGTCTTTCAGCACTCGCCCTTTGGCGACATGCTGGACTTATTGAAGTCTCTCTCCTTGTCAGGAGACTCCGGGCCGAACTATGTCCGGCTCGGGTGGGAAGCGGACAACGACGGAATTCGTTGCCCACCCACCACCCACTTCATTGCCACGATCGATGATCTAACCGATGTGCTTGACTTCGACTCCGAAGACGTCGACGGTATGGACGACGATGCAGGAGGACTACAAGGACCACCATGTACAGGGCAGTGGGCAGCCACCTCCTCATACAATATATATATGGTGGACACCCCAACGGAAACCAGTGGCGGTGAGGCAACGGCGGATAACCCCTCAGGGAGAAAAGCAAAACATGTGCGTTATCGGCACCACCCCAAGCCCCGCCACACCAAAAACGGCCCCGGAAACGAGAGCAGTCCGGACGGTGCCAAAAAGGAATACAACCCTAGTCAGCCTACACTTAAGCCGGTCGGACCAATGACGACGGGATGCTGGGAGAGGGACAATCACACACACCCCCTCCGACGACGAGGCAAGCCTCGGCAATGACGAATTCGGCGTACCGGAAGACCCAGTGGAACAAGTTTGCTTCAAGCGACAGCTCATGGCTACCGCAAGGAGCCTGCAAAGGAAGCAAGAGCAGCTTACAGCTGACCAGGATGTGCTAGAGGATAGGTGGATCAAGATACTGGCCGTCGAGAAGTACGAACTCGACAGCCCCAATAAAGGGCACACACGGCACAACTGGCTACCTCAACTCGAGCAGGAAAACCACGGGCACGCACACAGACGCCCACGCATCACTAAGGTCCAAGGCGGCAAGAAGCAGACACGAAGAGGCACCCTCAGGCCTCGGCATAAAGGTCATAAACATCAAGACATGGAAGCTGGTGCCAAGTCCGGCAACGCTCAGTCCGATAAACGGACAAAGAGCAGCACAAGCCTACTCGACCGAAGCCACTCGCTGGATCAGCCGTGTGAAATTCACGGTACCCCGAGAAGGACGGCAAAGCATACCAATAGAGAATGCAGGATTCTCAAAACAAAGCGGCTGGTCGCACGCCGGAAGCAATAAAGGGGAGATGCCTCGTCAAGACCCCCCCTCCCAGAGCGTAATAGTACGGCCGACCGCCCAGGACCACATAAACCACGGCAAGTCAAATGCAGTGCCTCTAGACCTAGTAGTCCGGGGGCTCCATAACACACAAAGCCCACAAGGGTATGAGGCAGAAATCATATGGGTGCAATCCATCCTGAAGGAGCTAGGTGTGAAGAGCACTAAAGCTCCATGTTTATGGTGTGATAATTTAGGTGCTACCTATTTGTCAGCAAATCCAGTCTTTCATGCCAGAACAAAACACATCGATATAGACTTTCATTTTGAGAAAAGAGTTGCGCAAAAACTCTTAGACATTCGGTTTATCCACTCCAGAGACCAAGTTGCAAATGGGTTTACAAAAGCTCTACCTACAAGAAGTTTTGAAGACTTCAAGCATAATTTCAACTTAATGAAGTTGTGATTAAGGGAGGGTGTCAAACATGATGCAATGTGTATGCCGTACGAATTGCAACGTGACAGCAATATTTGGGCACGTAGGTTAGGTGGTTAGAGGCATATCTTATCTTCTGTAACAATAGTTCCTGTAAAATCTCAACTGTGTGCACTATCAGGGAGGTGCGCCCCTGCCTATAACACGTACGGCGTCCCCGCTCGATGAGGTAAGTTGTTTTCGCTATGCACAATCTCAACCATGATGAGGTGCTTAATCATATTATCCATCGGCAAGAAATACTCTTGTAGGGTGCAATATGTGGGTTAGCTGACATGTTTGTGACGATTGGCTAGATGATCCTGCCAATTTTATGGTACCACTCTTGGTTGCTGACGATGTAAGAGTGGTTGCTAGCTTAGATCATGTTTGCTGTAAGTAAAGGTTGGCTTTTCGAGAGATGCAAGATTAATATAGCAAGAAAATGTTCTGTTCCTTTTAGTCCCAAAGGATCCACGTGATTTGCCCACAGGTCGACCACCATTCAAGTGGATGTGCATTGGTGAGTGTCAAACTAAAATGCCATGTATTAAATGTTGGAAATACCGAGTATGTTTAACTGTTTTTACCACCATCCCTGCCTCTCCACCCAATGGTGCACAGAGCCAATGTTCAACTGTTTTTGCAAATGCATGTTCTACATAGCACGTCACTAGTTGGTCAATGAAACCAATATGAGTGAGACAGGATGGAGACATATTTGAAAGCTGTTGAAGAACAGGGTCGGGTACTAACTAATTTGCTGCCTGGTTACAAGTTGTGGCAAGTTTTCTCTAATATTTAGGACAATACCTGCAATCGACTGTATATAGTGATGGATTGTCACCAACATTATGTTAATCATGACACTTATTTTGGGACGGATGAAGTATCTTGAAACCATGATCTTTCTTTTGTGTGGCTGGTCAGGGGAATCTTTTTCGTCTTGAAATCCAAGATCTTGGGGTACCATCCGGCAGCAAATACACATGTGCACACACAGCGTTGGTGCTGCAGCGTAGAATATGCCTATGAACTGATTCATGCACATGCATATAAGAGAAGCATTGCGGGCCCAAGGAAATCTTCTGTGCAAGTCTGTTCAACGCTTAGACGTCCCCAGATTACTAATAATCAACCGCGCCGCGGTTCGGTTGGTTCCACCATAACAACCACGTAGTTTCTCCTACCCGAGGACAAGTGCTAGGCAATCGAACATAAATATAAATCCAAGCAGAAAATAATAATATAGGGTGTGTGTTGAAGAGTGATGCTGATGCAGCACCAGTATGTTTCGAGCATGCGAGGTCGAGAGAACTATTCGCAGGACAACCACTAAAACATTGCAATTCTTACTGTATGCATTCTGATCCCATAAAGTTCAAGAACTCTGCCGACACACATTACGCCTTTTAATAAGACTAAAAAAACTAACACCGGTTGATTGAACCGATGCCTTGCTAAGAACATCATGATTAGTACATGATGCGTAGCTCAACACCAGATTCGAAGCTTACCAACTACGAGTATATAGTGGGGCTTACCAACTACTCCCTCCGTCTGAAAATATTTGTCGTAGAAATGGATGCAAATGGATGTATCTAGAACTAAAATAAATCTAGATACATCCATTCCTCGGACAAGTATTTTCGGACGGAGGGAGTATATGGTGGGGCTTTCAAAAGGAATTGCTTGGCATGTGCTTATAACTATAAAAAATTTATTAGATGCTCCTGTAAAATGGCAATTGTAGCCTTGCATAATAATAATATAAGTGCAAGTGGTTCCCCGTTGTCAGGTTGACAAGGGGGGTAACTTACATACTGATCTACTCCCGGTGTTGTTCCAGCCATAGCTTCCGATTACAAAGAAATGCCTTTGTAGAACAAAATTTGGATGCCCAGCTCAAAACTCAAACAAGTAGCTCCAAAATGATTGAGGATTGAATCAAAACCAAGTGAAGAGGTGCCCTTTTTTGGCACCTGGGTCCGACCAACATGCCACATGAGCATGTTCATGTACATTTGATGTTTCTTTCAACTGTACAAGTTAAGGGAGGATCCCCTAGGATTGCGATTGCTGAGTCCAGGGATTTTCGGCAGGCCAGTGCCATACTCAGAGATGCTGTAGCCCCTCTCAAGCTTCTCAGCTTCAAGAGGAAATTCCTCAAGCGTCTGAAAAAATACAAACATCAAATGGATGCTCGGCGCAAAAAAAAAATAAAAAAAATGGATGCGCGACGCATAAGTTGACAAGAACATCTAGGAGAGGAGTAAATACCCTGTGTGCCTGTTCAAGAACTTGGAGCGTTTCTTGAATACGCTGCCGTCTGATAAGTACTTCATCTGTTTCCCTCAGCATGTCATCAAGTAGGCTCTCCCTGCACACCAGATCGTCATTATAGAATGATTCTTCCAGATAGAAAGTAATCTGAAATTTACGATTGGGTTGCTCGCTAGCAAGTACATGAACCAAAGTGCAAGTCACCTGTACAGTTTCCGAATTAAAACGTTGTGGAGCTCCCGCTTTGTGTGGTTCACCTTAAGTAAAAAGATCAGTCAAACGCCAGCGTCACCAATACAGACTACTTTGGAAGTTGGATTTTAATTGTAATACTAATTAACAAGTAATGATACTTTGCTTGGCACAATGACCAACGTTGCTGGAACTTATGACTTTTAGCAACAAATTTTTAGTTCATGCAAGAAAATGTCTAGGTAGGGACAAAAAGAGATAAGTAAACCTCTCTTGAGAAGTAGTTTTTGTCTTTGATTCAGAGTATGCCAATATTACATACATCTACACCAGGAGTTAAATATTATAACATCCACAATTAGCATGCCAGAGTTTTTTATTTATATATATAATCGACCGTTGGAGACTTTTTTTTTAACAACAGGTATGTTAAAGCTCTCTAACAATTGGAGCAAAGAGCAAATAAGTTAGTAGAATTGTATTGCAAATTCACCAATAAGTAGATGGTCAACAAGGTATCTTCAAGACTTTAACAGGTATCACCACATTGTAGACACTAAACTTACCAAAAAATGCATTATAGCTTTGGGAACCGCATCCTCAATACTCTTTCTGACAATGTCATAGTAAGATTTGACCAAAAGCTTCACAATAGCTATCTCTGTTCTGTCCCGGTCAGTCTTGTTTTCTGATGGTTTCAAGGTGCTCGGTGGCTAGTAAGAACAAGGATAAGAATTGAAGATGAAATATGAAGTCCTGATGAATTACATATTGCAAAGTTCACTTGTGATAGTAAATTCACCTCTCTTAACCGAATCATAGAGTATAAGCTATTGAGGCTGTAACCTCGAGGATCTGACATGCTTGACAAACTCCCACTAACAAGTGAGTGACCATTCTGGCCTCCACCTGCCACACTTGTTCCTACATTGATTGTACCAGATTTCAGACCATAGCCCAAAAATATTGTGCCAGATTTCAGATCATAGCCCAAAAACATATCTCCTTATATACAACTGCAATAATTGGCAGAACTGTTTGATATATTGTAATTTGCAGGTATTGAACACTTCAATGTATAGAACTTGCAGGTACTAAACACTAAGGCGAGTTCGAATATAAACAGAACATATTTTTGGGCCAAAGTTTATAATATCGAGGCTGTGTCTCGGGTGGCTCCAGAAAGGATGCACGGGATATATGGAACAACGATGTACAGTGTGCTAGTTAAATGCCCCCAGGATTTATTAACTTCTTATGTATGTCTAAGTTGGCCTTTCTCATCAATCATTGCTGCCGTTCAAAGGTAGATATCATTATATTCCTAGTATGTGCGCAGACGAAGTTAGAAAACTTTGACCAACAATGCCCAGAACATATTAATCAGTAGATTTTTCATATAAAAATACAAACATGTCATTATATTATTACGTAATTTATAACTAGGTAAAGTAATGGGCAACAGTGTGTATTGGGTAATGATCAATGGTGTGTACTGGAGACTGGGTGCACTTGAATTACTACCTCACGTAGCATAGCTACACAACATTCATCTAGCCCGTTTAAGATGGCCCATAGAAGCAAGGCTCACTGTTCAGTTGCATGAAGGCTAAAATGCAGAATATACTCTCTTTTTTTGGGAAAACAAATGTAGAATATACTTTGAAAAGTAACTAATCAAACTTCCTCGGCAACAAAATTATCTATAGGTAGATGGGACGAAAGGGGGTGGTGCGTTCACAGCAATGACGCTCTAACACATGCCCTGATGGATGGTGGTCAAGACAAAGAAGCAGTCCGGATGACCACAACTCCACTAATCCAATACTACTGTTTCCATGGTTGCTCATCTCCCCGTGCGGGAGACTTTTTTTTCAAAAGGGCTTGTATTAATTACAATTAGGCAAAAGTTGCAGGCTATATTGCCACCAAACCTATATATTTTTTACCAAATGACCAATCTCGCTTGGAAAGACTAGGATTTCCCTTGCCTTGGATCCAAACATACTCTGTGTTGAAATCTGAAATGACAAGTAAAAGATAATGGAGGTAGTATTCAGAAATATGATAGTTTATATCTGATATGGGCAATCCAATCTCATCACTTAGCAAAAAGGATGAGTCGAAGTTCCCAACCGAAGGTATTCACATCATGTGGCTTCCCAGCGAGTAAATATTTCTCCACAAATAGATTTATAAACCAAAGGCATAAAGGTGGGTCGATTTGGTCATATCATACTGTATTTCAACTTCGGATCATCAGAAGATTTTTCTTTTGTCTTTGTATCGTATGAATTGCCAAGCAGGATTCAAATTGCCTGCGTTAACCTGTCGAAACAGCTAGGATTAAGGACAGGTTATACCAGCCAGGTGCAGCAGTGACTCGTTAAATTCGTGTTAAACCACTATGGGGCTAACCACGGGCAAGTTTGGGCGATTTGCACATCTGAATATCACGTCTCAACAAGCAACTGGTTATTTTCTTCTAAACAGGAAGTGAACAGATGGTATTATGAATACACTGATGCAGCAGTGCATGGCGATTAGCCAATCACATATATGTCCAGTTCTGACAGGTTGGGCCATGTGATCTAGGATTTAATTCATTGGTGCCCCGGCTGCTCAACGCCTGGCCTGGAGCTCATTTGGTTGCATCCTGGAGAAGCCTGGGTAAGCCTGGCCTGGATCAACCGGCACCTTGGTTAGCCTGAACCAGGTCTTCCCAGTTCAGGCCACTAGGTCAGGTTTCAGCTGGAAGATGATGATCCATGACGCCAAATCCGCCAGCACCAACCATAACCAGACAGGAAATGGGAACTTAAACCTCTTAGACATATTACTAGCAAATGAACAGTGCTTAGTTATTCATATATTATATAACTGGTTCAAATATGAAATCAAATGAGCTATCAGGAAAGCATGACGCAAATGCAACATCATATGAATTCAGTGCAACCCAGATTGACATCGTGCTTGCACAGAAGTTACAATGATAAAAATCTCCAAAGCAGAGAAATGCAGATCAAGCATATGACTTGTATAATTACAGCTACACTGGTTTACCTGCATCTGTATCAGGCTGAAATCCCTGGTCAGCAGAAACACAAGACAGAAAATGAAGTTGGGTAAAATTGTTAATATCATGTTATAACACATCTAGAAAACAAATTTTGAAACAGTCATAAGATACTATTTGAGATCTGATAACCTTCTCAGCTGTTGCTCCTCTGGAAGTATCTCTTGCAAAAACAGCACGTGACTTTTGACCTCTTTCAGATTTGATCTGTACATTGTTCTCAGTAGAAGATTTTAGCTGCGCCTCAGAACTTATACCAACACCATCCTGCAATAAGTGAAGTGGAAAAAAGATGTAACACCTCCCCTCGAGTCTAAACAAAATCAAATGAGCTTAGCAACTAATTAGAAATGTTGATGTATGTCAAGTACCATCTTCTAGTAATCTGCAATTAGATGACATGTATAAAATGCACAAGTTGATTCTTTGTAAATTCGCTAAACCTTGTGGCTCAGATTGATTTATGCCCGGCTTATGTTTACTAGCAATTGTACATGTCAAATGCATGTTTCTCGGAATATATATTGCATACACATAGAAAGTATATACTAACAATATGAGGACAGCCATATTTAAGATATAAGTGTACTCATTACCAAATTATTTCTTATCTTACAAACTACTCGAACGAAAAATATCACGCATTAGGCATGACCAACTATCTATACCAACATCGACGTATGTTCGCCCCAGTCGAAGATAGATCAGAATTGGGTCCTGGGGCTTCTGTTATTTCTTAATTTTATTAGTTGTGTCAACAATTATAACTAATCATGTAGTAATTCAAACAAAATCAAATTACTTATATTATTGTGACAATAGTTGTAGTTGACTGTGCTAATACAAGAAAAACTCAACACTAAAAATTCACGTTTTCACTCTTTTTTTAGTGAAGTGAATTCCGTGAGCATGCTGACAGTATGTAATCTGTCAATACGATTTTGACATAGAATTATTCAAGTTAGAACAATTTGTGTATAAACACAACTTCCATCCACATTGATTCCAGAGCCATCATGCGAGTTGACCTACTCCTTTCAATTAATTGTTTTCTTCAAAAGGAGCGGTTGCGGGTGTCGTTTACTATTGAATTCTTAGTGACATTAAAAAATTGATTAGTCATACTAAAGAGAATAAAACTACTCCGCGGATAGCACTAGCAGAGCAGTCAAATGCAAAGGTTCATTGTTGCAAAGGTACATCCCAGTCATCCACATTGGACTTCTCTTTACGTTATTCAGGAATAGATACAAAATCTGAGGTGGAAAAGATGTTACCTTGTGAACCGATAGTGAAGTTGGTCCTCTCGAAGATAGACCTTCGTGCTTAGCAAGTTCAACAACCTTGCTGCCTCCAACAAAGCTTGAATGTGAGGTATTTATGTAATCCATCTGTAGAAATATTTGTATAATTGCATATAAGAAAATAAACACAAAAGACAATAAAATGGAGCTATGCGCACAAGCGAATAACAAATCAAGACACTCATTAGCATGCATCTGCAACCCCAGTGTCAAATACCAATCCACAAAGTTCAAAAAAAAGAAGGTTCTTAATTGGAATAGATAACCGAACATGTAACTACCATAACTGAAACCAGAATAGAACATGGGAAAACATGAATTAGATTGTGAAAAAACTAAATACAATTACAACTGAGATAGATCATCACAATGCTGAGCTCATAATAACCTAACTTGTTCAACAATATTTAAAACATAACTGGTAATAAATGCATAAATAACCAACTTTTGTTAGGATACTCAAGACTGTATCCTTGCATTAATACAGGGGGACACGAGTATAGTGGGACCCTTAAACCAGAGTGACAGGTTATAGCAGCCACATTGTTAAAACCAGCTTCTTTGCAAAGCATATCCAATAGTGTAAGATGAAAGCAACCGATTGTTTAATGGTTGGTTACTTTAGTTGCAGGATACTGTGGATAGTAAACACCCCGAAAATTAAACTTTACTATCGGAGAAATCCAATGGTTACCACCAATTGGCAAATAAGAACTCAGAATATAAACACTTACCTCCATTTCAATAATATGAGTTATCATTGTCTCCGCAGGTCGAAGACCATCTCTCAAGAAATTGCTAACTGATTCACCCATCCGTCTTTTAAGAATTGGGTATTTCTGCAGCTCACTAGTTAAGCAACCATGGCTAATCTGCATTATTCAGGATACCTTATAACTAACGTAATTAGAGGTTGATAGGAATAACATAGTTACGGGTACATACTTTGACTAACTCGTCATAGATAAATTTGGCACACTGAAGACTTGGATCAAGCAAACGGCCTATCTGCTTTCGCACAAGAATCTCAAAAGGCACCTACAATTTATAATAGGAAAAAAAACATACTTCTGAGCATGGAGGAGTCCGGTAAGAAGACATTAACTGGAATAACAAAAATTTAACAAGTAAGGATTGCATCATCCAGAGAAAAGGTAAACCTCTGGCAGAAACATAGCCCCCTTTGGACCGTCAGAGTTCTGTATGCTCGTGCGGATATCTTCATCGCTTATATTCTTGCAAGGGTCAATTTCCTTCATATAGAGTAAGTAACTAAGAAATGTGAACCACTAGATTTATCACACACAAAAAAGGAAATATGTGAACCACAAGATGAAACAGGTGAAAATTATGACACATACTGTTGCTAAAATGATGGGAATTAATGTCGTTTGTAATGCCATATAGCTATATACGATGATAAACAGCGTCAACAAAATATACGATGATAAAAGTAACACTAGCACGAGGTAATTGTTTCTGCCCAGAAATTAAAATGATCTGCAGGAAGATATACTAGTTTATTACAGTGCACAACTTTTTCCCCTAAAGCATTTTTTTTGCGGGGGCCCCTACAGCATGTTGATATAGGGGACACAACAATTAAGGCAGAAAATACTATAATGTGACTATGGAGAGCAGAACCCTTCCTGAAAGGGCAGATCTCAAGAAAATTCTCTGGTAAGGCATACTAAACTATCACAAGAAATTCCCGAAAAAGAGAGAGGTCATCACCAAAGAACCAGCCATTTCACAAAATGCAAAATCAGTCTACATACAAAATAACTAAGGAAAAATCACCACAATAACTTAATCTAGAAAATGGTAGAAGTTGCTGTTCGCTGTGAATTTGTATTTATTTTTTATTTTTTGCCACTGTGTAGGTCAGTTTATGACATGAAGTTTATGTCAAAGTATCACTTCCCACATTTCTGCTCTCATAGCACCCACTAAAACCACTTAGCTCGTGTAGTATTGCGAACATGGAGCTCACTGCCAACCGCCCGCATCACTATTACACTGAAGCATCAACTGCTGCACCATGTTCCCAGCTGTGTCGCCCTGCCATGCTGCCCATTAAGCCCAACTGTGTATCTAGTGGGTTTGCAGCAGCAAGGGCTTTCAGTTGTGACTTAGATTGAGATTTTAAGCATGCGCTAACTCTAACTGATGCATGCAGTCATTTTCTCAGCAGCTGGCTGATGCATTATCAAGTCCAGGACCAGGAGTAACATATGCATGTGCTTTAGGAGTAGAAAGAGACACTCGCTTGTTTTTAATGAAGCAAAGGGGTATATTTGGCGGAGTGCTAGATGAAGCATAATTCTGTAACTAGTGAGTAGTATTTTTGCAAACTAGTCCCAGGGAGCACTATTCTCATTATATGCAAATTTAATTCTCATATTAACACACAGTGAATTGTAATAACATGGATACATGTCTGCTGTGTAAATATGTCAAGCTATTGCTTTTGCAAACCTCCAAGCTTTTGACAAAAATTGACTGAAAAATGTAGTGAATTCTTGCTCCACCAGAAAGCTGATCTGTTGACACTTTATTTTTCCCCTCCACCATCGAAGAAAAAGCTGAAAACATGAAGATATTATTAACATTAGAAAAAGAATAGCATTGGGAAAATCAAACACTTCACAAAATAAGTTCTTAATATTCTGACATCTAAATTGTCATGTAACTAAAAGAGTTCCACAACGGTAAAAATAAACAAGCAAATGCTTTCTAAACAGTTAAGATAATTTAAAGATATAAGTACTTTTTCTGAGTTTTGAATTAATTATTGAATGGAACTGGACTACAAAGGATTGTTGATTGAGTCACCATAACAGCAATAGTTCTTAAAAATAGCAACAAAACAAAAATTAGTAAGTTAAGGTTTTACAATGAATGGAACAGATCATTCTTCCTTACCTTCACAATATTTTCCCAATATGTTCAACAGTTTGACTCCCTGACCAGCCTGCATATCGAAGACCAGAAAGGCAGGGTTGAAAAGTAAAAGAAAATGACACTAGAAAGAAACCAACATGTGCGTGAAACAAGAGAAGATCAGGTAAATATATGGTTACTAAGAAAAACAACATGCATAAGGGAGTCAGGTGTAATGCGTCATGTATGTAGTTCAACAGAGCATGACATATGATAATTGTAATAACTAATAAGTGATTCTCATGCCAATGCATATAAGATATAGCAAACTCTAAACTGTGCCCAGTTAAGGCATCCCAGCAATAAATGACAGTTCCATCATAAAGCAGGTATTCACAATTTATACTTATGTAATATCAGTGTAATTACCGTCGATTCTGCCGTATCACCATATGCAGCATGTTCCTTGGCAACTGCTACCAACTGAGCATTTATTCGAGATTTCAAACCTGGAAGCATATCTGTGATGTGCTTTAGTAGAATCTGTAAATAAGAGCCAAGAGTTGCAATGATGAGGTGCACAGATAGAATCATTAGATGTATTAATATCACTTATGGAAGCATCATAGACAGTGTCTATGGATAAACGAAGGTGCCCATAGATAGTGCATCAATACATACGGCAAAGGCTTGACCTTTTTCAGCAAGGCGTTCATTAGTTACTATTCAAGAAGTATTATATTTCATCCACTTAAAAGTTTTGTTAACCACACCAACTTTTATCAAGTTAATCTCTCAGTTACATGCTAAAACTAGAGGTTTCAACTTAAACATGAAAAATCATTCATTGACCCACTATCTTGCAGTAAATTGGGAATAATTCATCCTAGATCAGATTAGTGTCAAAAAAACATTTCTCCTGGAGCCTGGGTATGTTGATGTTTGTTCAGGATATTATTGGTAAATGAAGTACAAAGAGACTAACAACATAAGCAACATAGGCAATACAGGGGCAAGAAAAGTACAACAAATATTTAACAGAATGTGTCAATACCATATTTAACTTCTTGGCCAATTGAGGAACACCACAACATTGTGAAAGACCATGATAAGCCTGTTAAAAGAAAATAAAATAAATACAATCAGACACAGCTTATAAGAAAATATGCCTAGTCACAATGGATAGTACTGCTGCAAGAAAATTCACAGGTTCCAGGCATACAGGTAGAGTCGAGAAAAACTTCTCCTCAAAGGCAAGTGCATCTTTGATGCTTCGGTTAAAGTTGATGTCCTGTAGGAATCATCCACTTGTGTTAGATTAGAAGTTAGAACAAATAACTTTATCAATTTAGGCAGTAGCATTATCATTAACTGCTAAGATCCAAGTTTAAATAACCAATTGAATTCACTACCAACACATATAAAGAACTAAGAAGTTTAGAAATATAACAGCACAGCACATGAGTTTCTTGTCGTCTTTTTATGTGTGTGTGAGAGAGAAAGAGCAGTCAGAACATGAAATTCAAAATGACAAACAAAATTATCAGGTTTTGTGGTTTTGCCTCGGAATATACCTCTTGGCTGCGATTCACAATACCTACATAACCAAGCTTGAGGGGGATTACATTTCCCAGTAAAAAGTTACGAGCATCAGTACCCCTGTCCATGATGTCCAACTAAGGCCATTGAAAAACAAATCAAAATTGTCATCACGAGTAAGGTAACAACTTTGCAGTATTAATTTTGTACACACATTAATACCTTGGTGATAACACCAATTGTACGAGATCCTGCCAGAAAGACAGCAAACAGTTAAGTTTACACTTCTTAGCTACAAGGAACTTCATAATAAATTCTTCCATAGAGTTGCTTATGTACCATCAGGATCACCAAGCCGTGCCAGTTGAAGAGCATCAGAATTAGCTAAATCTGCATTTGCGGGTGAGACGGCCAAGATAATGCAGCTTGGATGCTTAATGTATTGCATGATCATTGTTCTTATTCTTGACTCAATATCACTAGGCTGATCTCCGACCGGAACCCTTGTAATTCCAGGGAGGTCAACCAATGTGATGTCAATTACATTTGGTGAGAAGATTTTCAGACGAATCTGTTTGTCAGAGACACCTTTGTTACCTCCAGCTTCTTTGTCCGTTTCCGACTGAAAGCAGGCAATATATTTCTCTCGTGAGAACATTATGAAGGCATGCAATTAATAAATAATACAGTTTCAAATATTACTTGAGAGGTGCTACAAATAGAAAGAGTGGAATAAGATGAATAGAGGGGGAAAATCAGTGTCTCACAAGACTAAGATAAATAAAACAGAAGGAACAAAGTTAAATATTCAGGACTTACATGTTTACTAATACAATGAAAACATAAGTTAGACAAGAAAAAAATAGACATATAAACAAATACTGCCTCCATTCCAAAATACATTATGTCCGTCCTAGAAAGCCTGCAGTCAAACTTCTCTACCTTTGACCATCAATTGCTGGGGGGAGGGGGGGGGGGCTGGGCGTACTAGTTACTACTATCACATGAGAAAGCAATTACAAACTCTCCGGAGTGTTCCATTAAGGCAACCTTTCTGAATCTAAGTATATTTATCGTGTATGATCCTCCCGCGTGTTAGTGTCCAACTGGCTTCGGCATTTGAGCAAGGCTAACAAGCACCAATAGGCTAATAAGCGGATATACTGGGGATGCATGATAATATTCAGATTACTTGCATCTTGCAAAGTGATGCCATGCTATAGAAAAAAGAACAGAACTATCTTCGAACTTTGTCCTGATGATGATTGTACCACCATAAAGAAATAATTGTGTGCACGAGACTGACTGGAAGGTCCATAGTAATGTTAAAAGTGCATGATTCACAATATCTGCTGCAAAGTTTAAGCAACAGTTATTTTCGACAAGAAAAAACTAGAAGATGGACATTAACTGATAAAATTCCAGCCAGTAATATCGGCGGGTGCTAGTGCAGAAGTAACACAGCATGTCAGCACAATCGTTGCTCCATCCGCAAACTACAAAAACTGCAAGTTATGTATAGTTGTAGTGGTACTCTTACGAACTACAATCCTTTGTTTAAGTCATGGAATCAGCAAAACAAAAATGCCTATAGAGTACAAGAAGCAAACAAGCAAAGCTACAGCCGTCACCAAGGCTGACGCACAATTTTTGGGTACCCAGCATTACAGCAAACATATTGCATACACTCGGAAAACAAGCAAAGCTACATCAATCCGTGAGACCAAGGCACTCGTTTCAAGCCCCCAGCGACAGCAAACATGTCACCCGCACCCAGCAAAGCAAAGCTGCAGCAATTGCAGAGAAACTGACCTGGATCTCGCGCTTGATGTGTTCGAAATCGTCGAATCGGCGGCCGGGGGCGTGGAGGAACTCGCCCCACTCCTCGGGGGCCGAGTGGCGCACGAGCTGGAGCACGAGGGGGCGGCGCGTGCAGATTTCGGGGCCCCTCGGGAGGAAGTCGCGGCCGACGAGCGCCTCCAGCACACTTGACTTGCCGCTGCTCTGCCCGCCGATCGCCGCAACCTGTGGCAGCTCCACGCCGGCGGCGGCGTCGCCGTCCAGCCGCGCCATGATGTCTTGCAGCCTATTGACGAGCGGGATCACGGCTTGGCCCACTGTCGCCGGTTGCGCCGCCGCCGCCGCAGCAGCCGCTGCCGAGTCAGCCATCGCCGCCGACAGTGTTGGGTTTTGGGAGACTAGAGGGAACGCTTTGGGGCTAATTTCCTCTCTTTTTCTTCGCTGGGGTTTTGTGTGGATGTGCGTATTGTGTGAGATACCTGCAGCATCAAAACAGAACGGAAATTTACAAAATGGAAATGAAAACAAAAGTTTACAAAGTTTTCCATATAGGCGAAAACAAAACAGCATTTTTTATGGAATTTATGAAGAAAAAGAATTTCCATCAGTATATGTATAGGGAAACTCTTCTAATCACCACATGGATCACGTCGTTTCCTCCGTGTCAGACCCGAGTAGTTTTATCGATCTATTTGGGAAATTGTATGGAGGAAATCGTGACCTAGCTCGGATTTGAGATGTATTTGTTGCTATAAGAGAGTTGTATTGTCTAGGGTTCTAACCCATAGTTGGCAATTGGGGAAATCAACATGAACCTTCCAGCCACAACCCGGCTCGTTATAAGCAGATAAATGACAGCTAGTGGTAAAGAAAGTGAAACGCTACAGTGACAACGGTAAATGACATCGGATGGTGGAGACGTGTTGTAGACGCAGAAGCCATCGTCGCCATTCGTTGTTGCTGAAGCGATATTGTCTGAAACGCTACATCTCTTTTACTGAAGACTGAAAGTGTTAACTGAACCATCAACAGTCAGTCCTGACATTGCCCCCTTGTAAGATTCGACGTGTCCACACGACGCTTGTGCTGCATTACACCAAGCTTGGGTTGTCACTTTCAAAAACTCCGAAAAAGTATACTTAATGAAATCGGTATCCTCCCAGGTGGCCTCCTTGGAAGATAAATTTTGCCATTGTATTAACTGTTGTACCACCGGCATGTTATGTCTGGAAACTTGTCTGACCTGAAGAACCTCTGTTGGGCCAGTCTTGGTAGTACCCTGGACTAGGTATGGATTTTGGACCAATCTGCTTTTTCAACTGACTAACATGGAATACTGGATGAATTTTCACATGCTCAGGAAACTGAAATTTGTAAGCAGACTTGTCAATCTTTTGTACAATGAGAAATGGTCCATAATACTTATGTTGCAATTTCAAGGCGCCTCTAAAACCATAAACTGCTAGTCTGTAGGGAGCCATTTTGAGATATACCATACCTCCCACCTCAAAAACTCTCTATACTCTTTTAAGATCTGCATGATTTTTCATTTTGTCCTGGGCCTGCAGTAAGTTGGTTTTTAGTTGCTCCAGCATATATTGCTTAGCGGACAAAAAGTTGTGAGCTTCTTTCTCCTAGGGTCCAGGTATGGCTAGTTCAAAAATTATTGGAGGGAAAAAACAACAAAGAGCTTGAAAGGGGGCATTTTGATAGCAGTGTGGTATGTGGTATTATACCAATATTCAGCTAGAGATATCCAAGAGCACCACTTTAGGTTTTGTACTTGCCATGCATCTCAGATAAGTCTCAACACATTGATTAACTCGTCCTGTTTGGCCATCAAATTGAGGGTGGTATGATGTATTGTACCATAACTCACTTTACCAAGTAGAAAAAAATATCCTTCCACAATTTGCTGGTAAATATTATGTCCCTGCCGGATATGATCAGTTTGGGTGGTCCATGTAACCTGGGTATATTATCCAGAAATGTTTGTGCCACACTGAGGATAGTATATGGATGGGATAGTGGAACAAAATGGGCATATTTTGTATATCTATCCACCACTACTAGTATCACTTCTTTGCCATTTGAATTTGGGAGGCCTTCTCCATAGAGATATGTTGCCATGCCATGTCAGTTATAAGGAGGGGATCTAACAAACAAGGTTGAAGATAATTTTCATGCTTTGCTCTCTGGCAGATAGGGCAAGCAGCAATGAAAGTTTCCACTTCTTTCTTTAATCCTGGCCAGTAAAATATGTTCTTAACTCTCTGGTATGTTGCTCTTGTTCCAGAATGACCCCCAATAGGTGAACTATGCAATGCAACCAACAATCTAGTTCTGAGAGCAGGAACATTTCCTACTAAAATTATTCCTTTAGATCTGATGATACCAGGTGTTAATTGGTGGTATGAAGTAGTGTGAGAATGATGCAACAGTAATTGTGCTAATAATTGTTTGGCCACTGGATCTTGCTGATAGCTTTGTACTAATTCTTTTGCCCAAACAGGTGTGACAGCTGACATTGCCATGCAAGATGGTAGGGCTCTGGAAAGAGCATCTACCACTTTATTAAGAACACCTTTTTTGTACTGAATTTCAAGGTTAAACTCCAGCAATTTCATCATTAACTTATGTTGCACTCCCTCTGTGATTTTCTGGTCTATAATAAACTTGAGTGACTGTTGATTTGTTTTGATCAACAACTCTCTACCTAGTAGATAGTGCCTCCATCTTTTCAGGGCTTCCAATATAGCTAGGGCTTCTTTCTCATAAATTGACATAGCAGCATTTCTAGGGCATAGGGCAGAACTATAAAATACTATAGGCCATCCTTGTTGCATTAAAAGTGCCCCAATTCCTTTGCCTGAAGCATCAGTTTCCAATACAAAAGGTTGGGAAAATCTGTAAGTGGCAATACTGGAGCAGTAATTAAGGCATGTTATAGTTGTGCAAATGTTGTGTCATGAGCAGTTGTCCAAGCAAACTGTCCTTTCTTCAGAAGATCGTGTAGGGGTCTACAAATAACACCATATCCCTTAATAAATCTTATGTAGTACCCTGCCAAACCCAGAAAACTCCTTAGTTTTGTAACATTGTCTGGTGTTGGACACTCAACAATAGCTTGTATCTTCTTGAGTTCTGTTGCTACTCCTGCTGCAGAAATAACATGACTAAGATATTCTACTTGTTGTACAACAAAGACACATTTCTTTTAGTATATGTAGAACTGTTTGGAGGTGCTCCATATGCTCCTTGAGTGTCTTGCTATAAATCAAGATAAAAAGACTAACACAAACGTCCTTATATAAGCTCCAAAAATGTTGTTCATCACTGCTTGAAAAGTTCCTGGAGCATTAGAAAGGCCAAAAGGCATTACCAAATATTCAAAATGTCCAAGAAATGTTCTGAAAGCTGTTTTATGAAGATCATCAAGATGCATTCTGATTTGGTGATAACCAGTCCTTAAGTCAATTTTGGAGAAATACTTTGCTCCATGTAGCTCATATAACAAATCTTCTATTACTGGTATTGGAAATTTATTTGGTTGTTGCATTTTTCCTGAAATCAGTACAAAGTCTCCTAGATCCATCTTTTTCTTTACTAGAATGACAGGAGCTGCATATGGACTTTGACTGTGTCGGAGGAAATGAGCTACCAGTAGTTTCCTAATTTGGTTTTCCATTTCTTGTTTTTGGTGTTGAGGAACTCTGTATGGCCTAGCATGAGGTGGGTCTATTCCATGTTTTAAAGGAATGGTATGATCACATTCTCTGTGAGGAGGCAGAGTAGAAGGTTCCTCAAACAAATCAGCATAATCCATCAATAAATTCTGTAGCTGAGGTGGAGTTTGAAAACCTTCAGGAGCCTCTGAAACAATATAGTGCATTTGTAATAGAAACCCCTCAGCTCCTTTTTCCAGTAACTTGGTAGTTGTTTTTGCTGGTACTTCCTTGACAGTTTATGCAGTAGTGATAGTTTGCTTGCCCTAGATAGTGAAACTGAAGGTGTTTTCCGGCACATTAAATGCTATAGGACTGACTAGAGAGAACCAGTCATATTCAAAAATTAGATCATAGTTGGGAAATGGTAAGACTCTTGTAGTGACCAGGCCTCAAATGGTCAAGTCTCTGTATATCAGTGTCATCCCTGGATCGGTAATGCTGATACGCACAATACTCGAGGATTTATAACAGAGTTTCAATCACATAGTTATTACATCGAGTCCTCATAAAGAGTATTATTACATAAATAAATCATGGCTGAAGGCCATCTAAACTAGATAACAGCGGAAGGCTTCGAAGGTAAATGAGTCCATCAACTCCAACGACATAGCTGAGTGCAAAACAACGGCCTATCGCACCTTATTCGTCGTCTGAGAAGTCTACAACATAAGACGTTGCAGCCCGAAACGGGTCAGCACATGGAATATGCTGGCATAGTTACACTGTAAAGCAATGATAATGCAAAGACTATATCTACATGCAATATTTGGCTGGTGGAGGCTGTAAATTTCATGGTTTTGCATAAAGCTAGTTTTTCCCTACAACAAAGAAATAAATTTATTTAAGTACTCCCATGTTGCAAGGTTCCTCCAACTCAATTCCCAATTAAAAATATCATCATTAACCCATCATCATAATTAATTAAAGTAACATGTTGAGATCACATCAATAGATTCAAGTACTAGATACTCAAGATGTCCATAACGGGGGACACGGCTAACCATGATTAGTTTATACACTCTGTAGAGGTTTGCGCACTTTTCCCCACAAGACTCGACCGCATCCATGATCGGATGGTCGAGACATAGCCTTTCTGAAGCATTAACTCTCTACTCTGGGTAGACAGTACCACCTACAACCCTCTACATCTGCTAGTCTACCTCTTCAAGAGCTCACGCAACTTACTCAACTATGCCAGAGCCCATAATGGCTTGTGGCTGCACACGGAAGTTTCTAGCATGAATAATCTTATGATCCCTTTGAGCTTGGGTGGCATTCCATAGGATAATCACACGGGTACTCCGGGATTTCCAAAACAGACAACACCGGGTACTCCAGGTGCCTCAACCAAGCCATCCAGATGTGTATTTAAGTTGTCACCTTAATGTTATCCATTATTAATAACTCTCAAACTTCCATGTGTGAATCACTATCCAATCCCCGTCTACAAGCATGGCTAAGCAATAATAAGCATAATGTATATTCCCGGGGTGATCAAAAGGTATTAGGTTCCTACCTCAAACACTACAACCAAAACCACATGCTCCCAATCCTATCAATGCAAATATTTGTGGGGCAGAACTAATGCATAGTAAAAACTGGGTATAAAAGAGTATGATCAAAGTGTAACTTGCCTTGCTCACGATCTGCAAACTCTAGAGATTCGTAGTAACAAGCTTCGCACTCCGGGTAATCTAGCATAGACAAACAATAGCATACATAAGCAATCACTCAATCGAAACACGAGAAAACTCGAGAGAAGATCCAAATCGAACACGAAACAAGCAACGGCTTAAACTAACAAGAGTCAAAACCTAATAGCATTATTAACATGTGAATTAG